TCATGATCCCAGGGTCCTGGGATCAAGCCCCACATCGGGCTCCCTGCTCCTCGGGAAGCCTACTTCTCCCTCTCCCACTCCCCCTGCTTGTGTTCCCTCTCTCGCTGTGTCTCTCTCTGTCAAATAAATAAATAAAATCTTTAAGAAAAAAATTTGACTGTGGGACATGAATCAAGTTTAGTGAGTAAACATCTGTGTTACATGAACAAAAAGCCAAACACATTCCTAACTGATACTTGTCCAGTACAACGCCCCCACCCAAGGGATCATAAGGGCTTCTCTTAAAAAGATTTTCCATAAAGGAAGTCACACATATACCAGCTCTAGACAGCAAAGAAAATTCTATTTAATGATAAATTCCATTTGTGTAGCAAGTTAGAGTTTATAAGGTGATTCCATGTACTCTATACCTTATTTAATCCTTAACAAGAAATTTGTGAAGTAAACAGAATATATACTATAATCTCCACTTTAAAGGGGCGGTTCTGTCTGGGGGGCGGGGGTTGGAAGCCCCAGGCTGAAGATCAACAGAAGTGAGAAACAGAAACACTCCCACCACTCACAATTACACAGCCTAGGGCAAAACACATAATGGGATAACTGGAATTCTCCTTAACACAGGCAATAAGATAGCTCACCTCTGGGAAGTCTCTACTGGGGGTTGGGTTAGGGACTTGTGCTATCTGTAGGCTATTACGGTACCCTGCTTATTTCTCTACCCACTATTTTAATGTCTTTTTTTTTTTTTATTGTGGTCAAAAACACATAGCATAAAATTTATCATCTTAACCACTTCTAAGCATACAGTTCAGAAGTTTTATGCATATTCACAATTGCAATTGTTGTACAACTAATTACTGCCTTTTTACCTACTCCCTTACTAGATCGTAAATTTTTAAGAGCAAGAATGATATGCTGTTTGTTGCTTTTAGTGCTAGCACAACTGATACACAGAATATTCACAGTAATACTTACTGAATGCGTGCTTATTCTATCTGCCTATCTATGCACCTGCCTACCCATTCATCTACCTACCTCAGAATTGAGATGTTTACAAAGGGTGTATGTAAGTATGTTAATTTAAGTCAAAACTTTTTCTAATTTGGCTGACTAGTTTTCCAGTTAGAGGATATGGCAGATATTCTCTATAAACTGGAGGAGTGTAATCTGTAGTTCCAAGATTTAAAAGAAAAAGAAAAACACTTAATATCATAAGATAAAGCATTTTAACAAAAAATACTGCACTGGCAAATGTGTAATGAAATTAACAATATCTTGATTTTCCTAATTGTTTCTCGAGCATGCTGAACTAAACAAGGAACATCTGAAATTAAACATCCTATAGTCCTACTCTACTCAAGCTTTTTGGTATACTCACTGTAAACAAAGAAGGTGAATGATTCTAATGACTAACAAATCAAATCCTTTTTT